TTAAACATTTACATTGTTTTAGCATAAAAATACTAAAGGTGAAAATCAATAATGTTAGTTTATCTAAAAGTGAACGAAATAGTTTTATTAGTACAATACTTTAATCATAACTTACTTTTTATTGAAAATTCGTGGGATTATTAATATCGGTAAACCTTTTTTTATTTGTAGATATGTACCAAAGATGCGCAATTTTATAACCACATGTTTTTGTTTGTTTTGTTTTGGGTTTTACGTCACATCGACACAGTATAGGTCATATCGCGACGTTCCAGCTTTACTGGTGGAGGAAGACCTCAGGTGCCCTTCCGTGCATTATTTCAGGCACGAACGGGTACCTGAATAGAACCACCGACGTTCCGTAAGCTAGCTGGATAGCTTCCTCACATGAAAGAATCCAAAGTTCCTGTCGGGATTCGAACCCACAGAGGTGAGGGACAAGTGGTTTGAAGTCAACGACCTTAACCACTCGGCCACGGACGCCCCATAACCACATGTAGTCCGTATGTAACTTACCCCGTGAATATCCAACATTTTGTTTTAAAATTTGATCCGCCCAATTTTTACCTATGTAGTCTACGTCGTTGTCTTTGTCAGATAGTAGGAACATGTATAAACATAATCATCTAGAGACAAATACAAAGTAAGTTCAAATTGTGCTACAGCATAAAAGCCTGTTTAACACTAGATGAAATAATTCAATTTTGTATATAAGATTATGTTGAGAGTGAAAAATGAATATTTGCAATCCAAGTACGAGTTTTTCTTGATGTTTAATACATAATATGACCAAATTCATAATTAATATATAAGTGACAATATCCGCTACTAACAAAATTATAAAGTTACATTTGCAAATTTTGACGTTATGACATTTGGGTAATTGTTATGGTATTAGAATATACTAGCTCATTCAAATCGAGCCTGTATTATTTTAAATCTTAAGCGTTCTTTGGTGAATCCGTTTTGTCTCCATTGTTGATCTGAAATCACTTTATTTTTATTATAAGGATTATTATTCCTTCAGGGATATACCTGTGATGTTACTTTGGTTGACCGTTATGAATTTTTACAAGAACACCTAAAAGGCCCAAATTATTAAAGCTCATAGTGTACTTTTTATCAATTGTGAAAGGTTTTATTATCTTGTGTCAGCGTTTATACTCTTTTCTTTAAGATCTTTATAAAATTAAGCAGCTGAAATATGGGGCTTTGCAAAATGAAATGAAACTAAAAGAATTTATCTTTTTAAAATCATATAAAACAAAAAAATAAGCTTCCATGATTCTCTTGCCGAAGCATTTACTTCTTTCTTTTCTTCGTATTCCTGTGTGCCAACAAAATATTTGACTGACTTAGTTTCATTCATTGAATCGAAGAGTGTTTCTTAATTTTAGTATCATAAGTAGTGAATCTTGAAAAAATCCACATATTAATAACAGTTATACTATGTTATGTATCACAAAAATAGAGAAAACAGAATCCTAAAGGAACGTCCAAAACGACAAATTGAATAGAATTTAACATGTAAACAAGACAAATGGTGAGAAAGACAAAGCCAAATAAAGGGCTTTTGCCTCAGGACTCAAGATACATGTAGTTGCATCATCAGGAAGTCTCATTCTAAATGTTTCTTTTAACTTAATTTTGATTTTTAAGTCAACTGCATCAACTTCTTGTGGCCACGCGAGTACATAAAACAACTTGCATTTCTTTCGCATGGTTGCGAAGTTGCTTTTGCCTTACGCTTTCATTGAATGTCGGCATGCCTTGTTGATCTTTGTTCTCAGATTGTTGACGTTTCCTTGGAGACACATTTGTATAAAGATTTCCCTAGAGAATTGTCAATTTATAAGAACGATGATACAATAAAATACAAAAATCTTGATACTATAATTCATCATGATATACAGTAAAATTCACACAGATTACAAATATTGAATATTATTTATTCTATTCCGCTAGTATTATGTTGAATGTCCACAAATGTGAGAATCAAAACAATATTGAAGACATTAGCTATCATATACTTTAATAAACATTTTCAGGATCAGAGGTTGTAGATAATTTGAAATTGATTTAGTATTCGGATGTATATATTAATAAACTATGACAAAAAACATAAAAGGAAAGCCGGAATTCAATATCACTTTATTTGAAATGAATTATAAATTTTGTTATCGTTACGTTTGTTAGGCTTGTAAGAATATGCTAAGAGTTACGATATTCAAGATATTGAATTTGCTTTGTCAATAAATAAATTTATACGATAAATTAGTTTCTGAGTTTGATAAGGTTATTGTAACAACGTCGAATCAGTAACTGGAACCAACCAGTACTAAGCAATGACTTCAAAGTTTCTTGCTCACGGAAATAACGGCTTGACCCTGACGGTTTATGAATCCACGCGATCAGCAATCCTTCAATGACAATCCCGACACATCAACCACTTGGCCATGACCCCATTGATGCAGATTATGTGACCTAACTATATAGATAGGAATACCATATTGATCCGTTTTTCGTTGTAATCAGGCATTTGTCTAGACAGTTGTGACCTTGTATATTGAAATACGTGCACATTCTGGTTCGCCGTTTATTTTGATGAACGAAAAATGACAGACATTAATATACCAACGGAAGAAATTGTAAAGATCACAAGAATCCATGCAATAAAACTTACCCATAAGGTTGATATAATTAAGAATAACTAGTTTCCAATTACTGCTATCTCATCATCATTTAAATGTATTTCCCTACAGACATTACACGACGTGTTTGTGAAAGGAAAGATACATCTATATGTCCTCCAGCGAGATTTGTTTTCTTTATGTACATCAAACCGGGGCTTCTTATTGTCTTATATATCAATTGACGCCGCGAGATATGTAGTCATGTAAAGACAACATTTTCTCTTGACGAGTTTTTTTCCCAGTGAAACTCTCTAGCTGTCCGTGGTCTGTTAATTACTCTAGTGTGATATCAAATATAGACCATTGCATTGTAGGACAATATCATTATGTGACATCCTGTATTATGAGAAGATTCCCCTTGTGTTTACACAATAACAGTTATAAATGAGCACATGTAGGAAGTGTAAATTCATAGCATCAGAGCTTAAACTAGAACAATCATAACAGTATTGTGACAGTGGTCATACAAGACAGGACTGTTTCTAAGAAAACTGTCAATTCAGCCCAATGGAATCTGTTATATATTTCTTCCTGACAAAGAACATTGATTGATCTTCAACAACAGCCATCCTAGTATTTCTGGTAAAATTATTGCTACTTTATTAAAGATATTGAATTGTTACAAAATATTATTCTAGACAAGTTCAAAATATGATTAGATTTTGTATAGAAATTTCACTTCTTCAAAGGCAAATCGGGAGGGCAAATGCTTCACATTTGTAATTGCACTTGACAGTTGAATAAGATGTTTTAGACCTTGGACAGTGTTCACATATTCTTCAAGTGGAGCATGTAATTCTGTCTGAAATGATGAATTTTAAAAAGTACTGATTTAGTTACGTGTTATACTTTGGCTGAATGCACGGGTCAATAAAACAATCCTAATTCTTTTCGCCTTTTCCCCCGCCATTATTAAAAACAATAACAGCAATTTTTGTGTTATTAAATATATTTCCATTTTCTATAGTATAACAGGTATCAATGCATTTATTTATTATTTAATATATATTCTAATGAATCATATTTCTCAGTTCATGTACTATTGTGTATCACTTTTCTTATTCGATTTCTGTTATTTTATTTGAGAAAGTTCTATATGTGTATGAGGATATACAACAAATGACTCTGAATTACCGAGGTTTCGTATTGGGAAACAGCTCGTTAAAATACGTAACATTGTTATCTCGACCTAATTTATTTTTTATGCAATGTCTACCACCTAATTAAGATCCTAATTGGTAAAATAGCAACATAATATGTGTAGAAATAAAGTTACAATGAACCATAAATGCACCAAAGTACTTAAAAAAACGGAAATGGTTAAACTGTTTATTGTTACGAGAATACAGTTTTGGAAAGGCTAGATCTTTCGAGAGCATGGACAACAAAAATTGAAATGTGACAATTTGATTAATTTGGGATTGAAATGTGATAATTTCTTTGACTGACTTGGCATTGAAATTTGACAAATGCTTTGATTGATTTGGAATTGAAATGTGATACTTGCTATTGAAATGTACCCCTGTCACTATCTGTTTCATGTTGCTAGTTTTCTTCAACATTTTTGTATTGTTTTGTAATGTATGTAACGTAACGCACACTTTATAATAAAATTATGGCACATTTGAAAGAATCTATTTCCGATGCCCTTTAAAGGCCGTTGCAATAATGGCGTGTTTCTGGAATAAATTTATATTTGATAGCTTTATTTTTTTGTAGAAAATAACGTTATTGAACTAGTTCCCTAAAACTAGAAACCGACATGTTTTATCCAATTAGAAATAGAAACTGAACTTTTTTACGAAGTGGTTCCGATTAAAAAAAATTCAAACTGATTATTAGGTATAATATCAAAAATGTTTTCACTTACAAAACAAAATTATCCATCCGGTAATTTTTTGTCAAAATATAAACTTTGACATTCTAGTTTCCAAGGCAAATTCGATTACATTTTGACGATAATGAAGTATGCAAGACTCTCCTGCTAATTTAATTTCTTAAAATAACGTCTACATCTGAACATTCTCCAGTAGTGTCTGTATTATAGTAACAAGATATTTCTGTCATTTGGGGAAACAGTATGGTAAAGTAATTAACATTATTATCTATGGTAAATTTGTTTCTTCAACAAAATCTACTTTCAAATTACGGTCTTAATTGATTTTGAAATATTTTTGTGAAAACCAGTATACGATCTTTTTAACAAGGATAATTTTATAATACAAGACACGCTGGTAAGAACAAGATACTATACGGCATATTAAACATAATATCAACATGAAAAACAAACAACAAACACACCAGACAAACGATAAAACTTTTTATTACTTGAAAGCACATTCGGCTTCAGAAATTGATATTTTATCCTTCTTTTGGAAAAGGCAAATGCGATTTTATTATGTTTATTATTCAATAGTTTTATGAGCGTTTTGTATGTTTATCACGTGAAGAAAATAGGGAAGAATGTGAAGTTATAGGTCATAAAAGAAGCAAAATATAAACGGGTGTTTCGGATAATTGACCTATGAGTAACATTTTAGAAACTTACATAGGCAACCAAAAATTAAGAGCTTTTGAAAAAAATAAATAAAGCATTTTTAGGACAAATTGGGCGATATCAAATTTATTTATTCATTCATTTATTTAATTATGCTATTTACAATAAATTATAACTCAGTTCAATTAAATATGACATAAATTGTAGCAAGAATTGGTTTTAGATTTAGAAACTCAACATACATAATTATTGCAACAGAAATAAGCTTTGCATATACAAAACACGTTTAATATTGTCATTTGTTTAATATGTTACATAATTGTTAGCAAATCAATAAGATATTGCATAGATAATAACAATATTATCTATATATATTTACAATAGATCACAGTCAAAATGCAATTAAGTATAACATATACAATGTATATCAAATATAGTTTCAGATATAATTTACACAAAACAAGTTATATATGCGGCAAGCACAAGCTGAAAATGTCTTTCAAATATACTACATAGGAATCCTATCACCTCAGCTATATCACATTTCATTACAAGTTTATATGTCTTTTTGTCATTGCCCGTTACCTCCTACCGCCCCTACGAAACAAGATTTTTTCCAAACCCATTGTCGGTGCCTCAAACGAAGCCGAACATACAAGTGCAACCATATAGGTAACACATAGATGACCGAAATACAGATAGATCTGAAACAAGAGGTGTTTTGAATATTAGGCTACATTTTTACTGTATTAATTGCCTTACATTCTCTTTTAAATAACATAATCATATACATTATGTCGTAAATTTCATTCTCAAAGAAAGTATGTTTCTCAAATTTTAAAAGTCAAATTTAAGAATTCTAACACGCTTCACACTATTCCACTATCAAACAGATAGGGTAATAAAGTGCATAATTACATGATATATGCACGACATAAACAAGACCTGTCGGTAGGACTCGACTATTTTTAGTGTTTGACAGTAAAAAAGACTTGATAATGTAAAATTTTCTAAGTTAACAAAAGGGCAAAATTTGTCTTTAAATCCATGTTACAGTTATATGTCTTGAAGAGAGTCCTATCATACTCTCAAAGAAGAAAATAAAATTACAAATTGTTTCAAATCCATTTGTCATTAGAATATGAAAATATCTGAGGTGGTATGCAAACTCAAATGTAAATTATAATGCAAATTGTAATGCTTCAGAGAGTTACCCCCTCCTGTGTACAAGTTGAGGTCATTATGGTAAACAAGTGTGCATAGTTTCAAAGCCATATGTCAATGGACTTTGAAAATAATTGAGGTATTACAAAAACTTAAACAAATTATGAGTCGAAAAAGGGGCATAATTCTGTCAAAATGCTTGATACAGTTATCTCCTCCTGTCTACAGGTTGTGGTCATGATGGTGTATAAGTATGCAAAGTTTCAAAGCCATATGTCGATGAACTTTGAAAAAAGGTATTACAAAAACTTTAACATAAGTGGTTACGCCGACACCGACACCGACGCCGACGCTCGGGTGACTACAATAGATCTACTTATTCTTATTGAATAGTCGAGCTAAAAAGGAATGCTAACACGTAATATGACGTCAGATATTCAGATATAATGTGGAGCCATAGTGAATCATGTGCGTCTGGCAACTTACCCAGAGTAAAGTCGGTTAGGTAGACGACCGCAGAGATATGGCCAAACACATATGTTACAATCGTCATAGAAAATAACCAAACATAATTAGTTATAATAGCTATATAGCTAGGAAATATTACAATTAGTAAAAAGTGTACATACAATATTATAATCGTTGACATGGAACAAGGTACGTCTAGAGAAAAAGTACATCATCATACAGATCGGGTGTACGAGATAAGCTGCATACGTCAACCGAGACAAGGGTATAAAACCATTCCATGACAGAATTGAATTCACCAGCCCTGAATATAAATGTTCGTTCAATAGACCCATTCGTTAATGATATGATTAACATATATTTACACATATAATACTCCTCATTTATTCGAACATCTATTTTATAACCTTGCTTTTTAACATCGAATATGTCATCACAATGTACAAATTGTATTTAAATAATGAATATATTAATGATTTAAAAGAAACTTGTCCCAGTTTAAACTTTATTTATATTATGCATGACTGTGAATGAACATTATAGTTTATTGGACGATTTTCGAGTTCGTTCTATTGTATGAAACAGTACTTGTGTCAATAAATGGAACATGGCTGTAACCTCAGGGGAGCCTAACACCGACGTCCCATGTTTAAGAGAGACATTAGACAGACGGTATTTCCCATTGGGTTTAAACATAAAAGTACCTCGTTTAAAACAAAGTGACAACACACAAAACTCAGTTAAAGAGAATCGTTTTAGATAGGGATAAGTTGAATACATCTCAATATAGTACAGCTTAGAAACGTTGAAAAACTATAAAAAAAATCGCCAATTTAGTTCAAATATTATTGTATCAATGGCCTATGTTTACAATCCGATAGATAACTGGCTATTATTTGACTTACCGCCCATGTTGTTATAACACGCAAAAATCAGCCATGCGATACAAAATCCCCATGCAGGTCTACCAAACGCCTCGTAGAAAGCACGTTGTACATTGGTCCATTCTGTACCATCTTCCTTATTCTCGCTGTATGTAGAGTATACCAACGATAGAGCAACTGCTGTGCTTACTAACCAGCCAATATATGTTAAACTCTGAAAAATAAAAAAACATCGTCTAAACCAAAATCATGCAAGAGAAACAAACCCAAACAAACTGTCAATACAATTATTATTTAGTTCTATCAATACTTATTGAAGCTCGAAAGCATGTAAATTACTAGTATTGTAATCACTTTTCATCCCGGTATCAAAACCTTTAATAATGCCATATAAGCCATATAAGGAAAAATTGCCGTAGTCTCAGAAATGCACGAACCCTACATCACTGAGTTGAAAAGCAGAGATGTTAACCACTTGACCACAGCTCGGCCTCCAATTAATCCCATTGACCATTTTCTCGTTTTTATCTCACATATTTTGTGAAAATCAGTGTATTATTATTGACACGACAGTCGATATTTCTACTTCACCTGTTTAATTTGAGTTATAGGTTTGCTCAGCTATAAATTTGAAACAGTCTATTTGAATATACTAGTGTTTCAGTTAGAAAATATAGGAATTAAGCTTAATGACATAGTGCCCGATCAGCTAACACGGATATATGTGCTGTCTGGACTTGCTTTATATTGGTGACAAAGGAATATCAAGTTTAGTCCTAGTAGGTCAAGGTAAAAGGTTTGTCAATTGACATCGGATACTAAATTTGAAAATTTAGCAGAATGATTGAAATTTCCAAATTATTGAATGAGGTAATACATTTTTGCCCCTTCCTGTATATGATGCTACAATATATGCCCATTTATCTCTCAGAACTAATTATGCAAAGATCTGTCGCTTTACTAATTGCAAAAAGGCAGAAGAAGATTATTGTATGTCAAAATGGATACCGTTTTCAATATAATGACAGGACACCAAAAATAAAACATAAATGATTTCTGAAATACAAATCATGGCATTTTGTGGGTCTTTGCGAGTCTTTAAATAAGTTACTGCTTTTATACGCTTTTAAAATTAATTAAAATTAATGATCATTTTGAAGACGTAAAGAAAAGAGAGAAAAGTACCTTGTTGCGTAAAGGTTTTCGCTCTCTTTTATAAATAACAAAGCCCAGCAACATTCCAACTGCCCAGCAGCCGACACGACACCATGGCACGGTATAAACTTCGTTCCAAAAAGCGCCGTCGTCTGATTTCATGCTTTTAATATATATAAAAATCAATTGATAATGTCATCCAAAATTGAAAATCGAAATGTATAACTCTAAAATAAATGTAAGTGTGCATTTTAACAAACTTATAGTATAGGTTTCATCTAATACCATGAACATTTTAGCCCTTTATTTTGATTACACTTAACAGCAATAATTATAACATCATTGAAGATGATTACTATTGATATAGGTGATGATTAAAACTTAAAACTTATAATTATAACACGTAATATCGGATGATGATTATACAATATATGAACTTAGATCACTACTTACGTGAAAAAGTTACCATTAATTTCATATTCCTTCCAAAACGCTATACCAATGCCCATACATAGCAACAAACTTGTTAAGATTGCCCCAATCACGGGCATTCTGTGATAAAATAACATAAAACATGAGTTTGATACACATTTTGGTCGACATAATTTAACATACGAGGGGTTATCCAAAATTCTGAATCGAAATATTGCATTATAGTTTCAATCGAATTCTGCGACATATTCGACTATTTACGTACCATAAGTGAGCATACAGTTTATGTTTGACATTTACTGTTTATTATTACTGATGTTCTCGAAGGATTACCGTTTTCTTAGAATTAGTCGGGAAAATAGGTTTCAAAGTTTGTTTTCCTCCCCGACAACACCTGTGTCGTTTTTCAAACCTTCTCAATTAATGCAGCAATGTGGACTAAATCAATTGCATTTCTTTTTCAATTACGAAACTAAATTTGATAAATCATATGCATTTAATATCAAAAGTTACTTACATGTACATGAATATAAGAAACAAAGGTGAAATAACATAAAACTGCATATCATTGGCCAAGTACCAAGTCCAGCCCATACACTGAAGAGAAAAAAATAAAAAAGCCTTAAAACAACTGCATCAGCCGTACAACCAATGTAAAAACTACTTATTTAACTTTAAAAATGATTAAATTTATTGGCAGTGAAAAAAGACAAACAAAATGCACATTTATATTTCTTATATTGTTCATGTTAGTCTAGTGAAAAATATTCTTAATTTCAAGATATATTCTACCTGAGAATGAGTTTCAACTAGATTATTGATGTATAGAAGGTTGGTCCACCACACTGTTTTACAATGTTCGGCTGCCCATATTGTACTTGGCCAGAAAGGTCCCGAGCCAATATACCGGTACAAGCATGAAAACATCATGATTACTAACATGTATATTGGAGTCAGTCTGAAATAATACCAAAACATATTACAACAGATATTTAAAAAAAAATGACCAACAGTACTGTATGTGTTACAATAATAAGCATCTTTGGCCGTGATGTACCGTAATCAAATAGAGAAAAACAGAATTCCTTAAGAAAGTCCAACACGGCAAAATTGAAAATGTTTAATTGAACCTGTTCATGGACGGAAGTGGTAATTGCAACTGTCAACGCACCCTAGCACCGGCTTAAGTAGAATTCAAAATTTAACATGAACTGGTAAAAATTTGAAATTTGTAACATCGTCAGATGTGTTCATATGGCGGTAATCATGGAACCTTCAATGTGACATGTTGAAAGGGGATCAGATATTATTAAGTCACATTGGTGTTGGCACTACTAGTATCACATAAGAAGCTATGTTGGAGTTTTGATTTAGTTTTAAGACTTTTTAAAATGTAAACATGGTCTTTTACGAAATGTTAAATGTTTAAATCATACATCATTGGGATTAATTTAATTCAAGATGGCTTTCTTGGCTGCATTGAAACAGATTCTGGCTTGACCTTTACTAAAGAAATAAAAAAGGCTCAAAAACAACGCTTTATCTCAAACCTCCAGAAACGATGAAAGTAGTACATGATTCCGTCAGATACTGTACATTTCTTCTTTTTCTTGTCAGTTCCTTTCAGCTGTAACCATGTCAACAAGAATGCACTGCAAGTATTTATACGCCAATAAAATAAAAATAAAGTTTCTATCAATATACAATGTATTACTTATCTAATTAATATATTAACTTGATCAATTAAGGTTTTGACCATGTTGGGCAAAAGCTTAAGTTCACTAAGGGTTTTTGTTCTAGAAGAATTTTAATAAGAAATAGAAATTGGGGCTTTGAGAGATACCCCTCTTTGTTGTTTTATGAATATTGTGTTGTTTCTACGTGAAAAATTTGAGCATTATGATTGGATAAATAAGATATGGTGTTTGTAAAACCTGATGGTATATACATTCTGGACATAGACCTCTGTAATATTGACTAAATAATTCACATATAACGGTCTTGGTTTGGTGTGTTTGGTTTAACGGCGCACCAACACAATTTTGGGGTCATATGGAGCCGAAACAGGAAAGATGATTTTGGCTATCCCCGGGTGTTACAACTTAAATGTTTAAACCTGATATACGTTTTTATTATTTTGCACAGAATACGTTAACAACTAACCAACAAATTACGTTAAAAAATTAAGCCTTCAACAAAAAACAACAAACAAACAAAACAACAACAACAACAAAGGAAATCAATAATAAAAAGCAAAGAGTACCTTAAGACAAAGAAAGTATCGACGGCGAACCCGCCTGCTACCACGCCTTGGAATGTTAATCTTTGCATAATTGGTACAAAGTCCAACAAATTATCTAGACAGAAATAAAAACACATTTATTAATTATTATTATATATAACGAACTAAATTTAACTCTTACCCTGCTTGGCTACCAGTATAGAGCCAGGCCAACCTGTACCTTCATATATTCAATCAAAGGCTCTTTTGTCTGACCAACTTCAAATGTTCATCTTGATAGCAACAAAACTGATCGTGAACAGTACTAAACAATCGAGCTTGTCAACTGCGTGTAAATTATTCAGTACTTGCCGACTTTTTGTAATGGGCTAGCCAAGTTTTAAATTTGGAACGGAACAATCCATTTAAAGTTTAGTCTACTGTATACGATTTTTGTTTAGTTTGATTGTGTTAGAAGCTATAAGCTTATTGAAACACTCTCAAATCCGTTCCTGGAGTCAACCAGTACTAAGCAATGAATGTAAAAAGTCTTGCTCAAGGAAACAACGACTTTCCCCTGATGTGATTTGAACCCATACAGTCAGCAATCCTTAGATTACTAGTCTACCGCCACTCGCGTTTGCGGGATTTCAATATTTAAGTATTGCCAAATGAGCTGCCAACAGGAAAGAACCTGTTTAATTAGAGGTACGGACGTGCAGTCTATCCTGGCTCATAACTTGAGGCAAGGGCTTATCAATTTCGGTTTGAACATGTGTTCATGGATTTCTAAACCATTGTGAGTACTGAACAATGCTAGCACTTCCATTGTTAAACAAATTGTTTAAAATATTTGTTTCCTTATTTGTTTAAAGTGTTTGTTTAAAATGCGTTTGTTTGGATGTTTGTTATGGCTGTGCGCTCAGATTGGAGACACATTTCCGTTATTTTGGGTGTAACATGAATATCCCATTCACTGTTATTCACGTTAATGATGAAATATAATGATAACATTAGGTTATCTATCTACATGCTGTTATCATTAATTACCTGTGGTAAAAGTTTCATCTTGAGATACAATTCCATAATTGTAGGTGTGTCCAAGAACTACCCATGTAAGACTTAAGAACCGAATTCCATGTATGCAAGAAATAGAACCGGATGTAGATTTCGCGCTAAGAATCTTAGGAATGTTTGTATACAGTGAGAAGCAGACGATAAGCTTTCCTGCCAAAGAATCTGAAAAAATATGAAACAATTTAAAATTAATTTTGCTTAAAAATAAACATCAACAAAATACCAACATCAAAAAGGCATTCAATTTATTTTTAGATTGCAGACTAAGTGCGTGCGCATCAAATTCGATAACAACTTTGTATGAATTGTCGTCATGGATCTCGTCCATCGGCATCTTCAGACTGCTAAAGTAAATAAAGTGAACACAGTCATGTAACGTGTGCCAGAAATAGAATGTTTGACTTGTAAGTTGTCTATAACGTCTTGTTTGTAATCCGATGGTAGTAGGTTCGAATTCCATTCAAGGCGAGATTTTGTACATTGATAGAAAATTCAATTCCACCTGGGGCGGGATTGTATTAACGGTGTTCTCGCAGTTTTGTGCTGCGAACTGAGATGTTGAATACTATGTTAGAAGAACAAGGTTTTACTTAATATCAAAAATTATAAAAGTTTATGAATGTAAATACATAAATATAAATATTTATATAAAATATATATACCGTTATCACGTAATATAAATCCGTGCCGCAAGATTATATACAGTATACGGAACAACATGTGAACATTAATGATTATTTATAAAGATGCACAATTACATATGAACAAAAATATATCATAATGGCACCTTTTCTTTTTTTCTCTTGTCTTGTATCAGGTTGTTGTTGATTGTCTGTATTTTGTGTTATTCTAGCACCATTTGAGATCTCATGGTAACCGTTACTTACGGTTGGCAACGGACATCCGCCTTCTTTATGCGGCATATAACCGGATGGAAGGCTTATTTCTGAAAACATTAGTATTGAAGAACGTTGTACACACACCAAAATTCAGAAGATATACTTTAAATATTTAACATTTATTTCCCATAAAAAAAACAAATTAAACATTTCATTTTCTTCAGTTTTTCATTCAGATTTACATATATCATCAACTAATTTTATTATTATAAATTCGTCATACCTGTTTTGTTTTCTGGTACATTGATTTTTACTGACGAATCGCTAAGTGCTCCATTGATGTAACTTCCGGTTTCCTCTCTCGGTCTGGTTCCTGTTTTGTAATTATCCTCTGTAGCCCGGCTTGACTTGTAAATATCATAAACCGTTCCAACTAAAATCAACATCCCAATTGCAGCAAGCACAGAACTGGAGGGAAAATATAACTCAGTTTCAAGTCAGAATGTTGTGATATTTTATACTATATAATTAGAGATATTGACTTCAATTTAATACATAGTTCGTTGAACACGCATATATTTCATGAGGTCCATCTCATAAATCATAAATATATGATTTAGAGTGGAGACTCAATGCAGATATCATTTGCTTGATTATATGATTCCCGATATAATCCAGTACTTGTTAGTTCCAGGAAGCGGACTAGAATATGGTTCAAATGGGCCACAAACTTTCTTAAACAATCGAGCTCAAATCAATTTTAGACAACATCTTGATTCATCGTGTGGCACATTTTCATGCTATGGCAAACCAATATCATTCACTATTATTTATTTGTTAAAGTAGTTGATAAACTTTCCGACTAACTTTTCTTCGGGTAAGTTTGCACTTTGTATTGAATGGTTTAGAAGTACCATGAACAGTATCAGTGATATGTATATCTCCCCTAGATGACAATCATATACATTTCCTCCTGCTTGAGTAGAAGGGAAAAAATGATATATAGTATGATCGAGATAATGTTTAAACAAACAAAATATATCATCATTGCGTTTAATTTTCAATATTGGACGTGGGTATGTGCAAGGGTATCTTACATTGCCGCAATAGCTGAACTATCTGCCGTTATGTCCGTGTCTTGCTCGTAACAGTAGGCTTCCTCTACTTCCGGTAGTGGCAACTTTTGTAATGCATCTGAAAACATACCAAACCTTATGGCACATTGATTGTATGTAAGAATGGTATAATAATAGATAAAGTACTGCTAACTAGGAACAATTCTTACTATGGACACTGGATACAAGACACAAATTACAAGCGATGATATAAAACATGTACGGTTTCTTATATCATGAAACAATTATGAAGACATTGTTACCATTTTGAATAATAGAACTTTCTTTAACCTCATAAAATAACTGGTTCAATAAAATTGAATTACTACGCTTAAACAGCACGCCATATAATTGCGCTTTTACGTGTATAAAGTGTGCAGTGATATTAACATGGCAACATATTGTTAATCACAGTATAAAATTGCTAAAAGTGCTACATGAACTCGCTGAATACGTTCAAGAAAAATATAATCTGTTATCGTTTTTTTCTTTAATTCTTAAGCTACTTAAAACGTCTGCTTTTCTCCCTTCAAGCGAAACTTTAACAAGAAATGGCTTTACGCGCAATTTTATTTTAGAATATTAGTCAGATGATTTACCAAGAAGGTTATAATGTTGTACTGTTATAATGTATAATGATGTCCAAGCTTTACTATAGGATGAAGAACTTCGATGCATATCACTCCGTGCATTTTGTCAGGCCATATCTACGGAAGCTTGTATGTACCCCCGCTATGAAGACATGAAGTCGTCTGCCTCGACTTATAGAACACAACAAGTCGTCAAAATTACGACGACAAGTTTATATATACCATGTCATTTTGACAAAATATATGTCATCATGTCGAGATACGGCATCCCGACTTTCTTACATAAATAAATTTGTCGACTTGAAGTTACATGTATGTCGACATCTATGTAATTTCTAGTCGACAAATATATTAACGTACGGAAGCTTCAAAGGGTCACCTATGGAAACGTATATGGTACACCCTGATGATGTCATTTCACGTGGAGATGTGTTCTTGTAGGACGAAATGATTACGCCAAGTTATCATAAAATATAAAGAATGATATGATAATTTGATCACGACGTTATAAAAGAACACGATTTGTCGTCGTAAAATAAAACGACATAACTACATAATAACGTATTTTGTAAAAACTGGTATGTTGACTATGTTCGTTATTTAATGTATTATGACTTGCTATAGGTCGGCATGCCGAATTTTACTGTCTTGTCATTTTCTGTTATAGACGACAAGTACAGATCATGACAATATATTCATGTTCTTAAAAATGATATTATCACATTAACATTTAGTTCCTATGTCTCTACTTATTAAATTATGTTAACTTTTGTCTTTAATA